AATAATGTTTGGTGGCCTGTGAATCTGTTTTCCAAATTTTGCAAAGCATTGTCATAAATAACATTGTAAACCTGTGTTTCAAATCTCTTTTCTGGATCAGCGATACATTCATCATTACTTTTTTCCCCAGGCATCATTTTTCTTTTTTTAATTCGTTTTGCAGCAAAATTAGACGAAAAATATGGTTCTCTTTCCACTTCAACGAGAGGGTCATTTTTTGGCATCTACCAAAACTGCTTCAAAACTCCTTGAGTCTGTTTTGAGGGTGGTTATGGTTTTTTCAACCATTTTAAATGCCATAATAGGATTCATTCCGTTTGTTTGAAGGTATTTGGATAATGGAGTTGTCGATTCAAAAATTTTTAATAAGATTTGAGCACTTAGTATTACTTAAAATTTTTTCAGTGAGTCAGCAATGGACTTTGCCTTGAAACGCGCTTCGTTTGCGAAATTGGATGAACTGGCAATTTCCTCTAGGGTTAATATAATCTCTACAAAAGCTGTATTTTTTGGATTATTGTAATGTCCAAACATTTTTGCTCGAGCTTTATCTTTTGCCCACCAACGAGTTTCTACAATTGAAGACAACATTTTCTTTTTTTATCAGTCACGGTGTCCCAAACTGCCATCCTTTTATAAGACTCACGAATAAATCCTGCACATTGGTTAATAATAGCAAATAACGAAATTGCTTCAACGGAAATGCTGGTCGTGTCAGCCATCACCAAATTAAGTACATGTGCGTAACACCAAACATGCACTTGGCCATTAAAATTTTTCTCCATATATGCCGAAAAACCCTTATACTGGCCTTGCATATTTGAGGCACCATCGGTAGCAGAACCAATACAATTTTTCATATCAATGCCATTTTTAACAAGTAATTCCATTACAATTTGGTATAAGTTGGCACCTGTACTAGAGGTACAATTTATGATTCCAAACAATCTCTCTTTTACATCTTACAATAACACTCAGCTGATCATGAACATTGATATCTTGAGTTGAATCAATTTGGATAGAGAACATTCCAGCCTTATTGATTTCTTCAGAAACCTTCTTTTTTATTAACGAAGATACTGACTCTATGATATAATTGACGGTAGTTTTCGATAAAAATGTATTGATCGATCCAGAACGGCCAGGTCGATTTTTGTCAGTTTTCTTAAGGTGTGCTTTACGGCTTAGTTCTATCGATTTATCGATGTGGACTTTGAGTATAGGATCGAATTTAGAAATTAACAAAAGAACCTCCAAAAAATTACCGTGGTCAGCACAGGTATCATCCAAAGTATAGGCAGCTTCAGCCTCCTTTGCACCTCTGAAGCTTTGACCTCGTTTTCCTAAAGTTTTAACCGTTTCAACAATCCGTTTTAAGATGTCCCTCCGTTCATTAATTTCTTGTAATTTTTTAGAGGTATCGGTGCACAAGCTATATATATCTTTCATTTTACTTTGCAATAAAAAGGATTCTGCTGATGCTTGATGAGCAATCGATTTTTCGTGCTTTCTTATTCGGTCATATATTCTGTGAGGAACAATTTTACAGCCTTCCGTGAATGAATTCGGTTCTTTGTTAAAGGCTAAGCAGAATGAGCAGAAAAAAATATTACTCTGTTCGCAAAATGAGATCCACTGTCTTCTGATTTTTTTGGTGTCAAGGTCTTCTCGAAAATAGGCCAAACTTGGGTTGAATTTAACTTTATCAGTAGGTTGTATTGGATGAATTTTGAAAAAAGAATAATAGTCATTTTTAGATGACCTTTTAAAATTCTCAACGATGCCACATTCTCGATTTTCATTTTCATTAATTTCCAAAGTATTTTTATTTTCAATCGATGCTAGCGACTGCTCGACTGTCTAGAAGTTTGTTATTAAAAGAAGATAAAAATAAATAAAGCAAAAAAGAAATGTTACCAGAAAAAATTGCGAGGCACCATCAGTGTCCGATATATTTATATCGCATAGAGTGCCGTGGTCACATGCTTCAAATTCTGTATTTTTTTCACATTCTACAAAAGTAGAAGTAGAGGTAGAGGGGATTTCTGGGTCTTTAGCGTTATCATCAACTTTATCCGTATTATGGTCTGTTTTCTATAAAAAATAATTTCATATGTCAAACAAAATACGTACACGTACACGTAAACCACTGACTAATATTTTGCACAACCAGAAGTTTATTACCTTTTTTTGTTATTTTTTTCTACAACGGTACATTTTGAATAAGTGGTATTTTTTTGCGTTGTAGATTAAGTGTTTAATAATGTTAAGATAATAATTACATCAATTCAATATGGAACGAATATAATACATAAAGATTATAATAATATAAAATTAACAATAAAAAGTCACTTTTACCTTAATAGCTTTGAACAAATCTCCGATGTTATGACACTGTGCCGCTTCATTTTCCCTTTTCTTCCTTTTTCTTTCTCGTTCTTTTTCAGCTCCACCTTTTACACGTTTATTCATTATTTTTTTAATTTTCCTTATAACGCAGCCAGAGTAATACACCGTACGATACAAGTTTTACCATACAACAATAAAAAAATAAAAAACCATGTCGATATTATAAATAACTTTACTTAAAAGTATTGTCTCTGCTTAAAATATCAACTTTTAATGATACGTAATTTTGTCTGTAGGGGGCCACTTGGTTTTTATTACCAGTTGTGTACTAAATTGTAGTGAATATTTAAAAAAGTATATTTTATAAATAGTTGTACCTTTAGTACACATCAAGATTTGCACATTCAATATTTAAGCAAAATAAAACACAAAAATTGTAGGTTTTACACACGCGCGTTTGTAGCCAGAGGGCTGTAGCGCCATCTTTTACCGAAATTACATACTTTAAAAAGTCATCTCAAAAACAGTAAACTGTTTACTGTGCCTTTATTTGGAAATAAATCATAAAATAAATTCACAGAAACTTTTATGATCTATGGTAAAAGTTATCAAAACCTAAGGATAATTCATAGATGAGAAAACTTCTTCTGGAGAAGTTTTTCCCTTTTAATTTTATAAAGCATTCATATTATATTATATTACGGCCTTGGCGGCCCATCCGGGCAGCGGCCCTGGGGGCTTTGCCCCCTAGCCCCCCGGCCCAATCCGGGCCTGGTTCGAATATGTTATGTTGAAGACTGCAACACAACATATTGGTACTTGCAGTAGTATTTATTGTTCTTCGTGTACCTAAGGACAGCGCCATTAATTCGTTGTTTGGATTTTGTTTTAACCACGTTTTAGCATCGGTTACATGGAGCCTACACAAGGAGCCCGAACTTAATAGGGAAAATTGGCAAAACCTGCCCTCTAAATTGCATAAATTAAGTCTTTTTTTTTCACCACCAGCGGCGCTTTCGGTACAAATTAGTCAATTGTTTTAGAATAAACGGTACACCAGCGCCTACTTTCCTTAGGAACATGCAGTTCCGACTCCTTGTGTAGGCTCCATGATCGGTTAGTTCAAATGAATGAAAATGGTTCTTTTCACTCCCTTTATGACATTACTTTGGGCAAAAAATTTAATATTTTTTGTTGTATAGTGTTACTGATACAGCAAGGTTTATTTTTAAGTTTAAAACTGTATTTTATATAATACTAACACCTTTTCAATATTTGGGCATTAATTAACCTCAATTGCTATTGCTCGTTTTTTGTGTTTGTTTCGTTATATACCGTACCATCATTTCTAAGCTATACATAGGGAAAATACATTGTAGGTGGACCAGACAAGTCGAAGTCAGATAGCAATTTGGTTAACAAAGGCGCAACGCAGGCTCGATGCCGCTCCTTAATAGGTAGGTATGTAAATTATTTATTTATTAAAATGTCTTTTTTATAAAAAAAATACTGTTTATTTTTTAAAGAATATTGTTATTTTTAAATAAAATGGTTTTGTCACAATTTTGCAGCTCTGTTATTATTAATACTATACTCCACAAATCAAAGTCCCACCATGTGACTGATATAAATAATTAAGGTTAATTTTGTGTCAGTGCCAAGCTTATTTTATCCTATTTCCTAAATGCAATGCAATATATGAACTTTTTGTGTATAAAGGTCCTATTTTAGAACACAAAAATACATATATTTTATTATTTTTAGAAAATAAGACGAAATAAGCTTGATACTGACAAAAATTAACCTTAATTATTTTTATCAAACGGTGGAGCATAGTTCCTGTAAAAATATCTTAAACCGGCGTAAGGAACATTCCCAAAACGTTCCTGGGTATAAAAGGCAATAAAGGCTGGGAATAATCCCCAAATTATATCAAGGAATATTCCCCTAACAATACTTACTTGAGTCTTTTGCAGGCATATAGGTACATGGAATTTTCTTTTAACCAAAAAGCGGACATTTGATTACGCCAGGAATATTCCTGGGAATATTCTGGGACGCTTGGAATAATCCTGGGAATATTCCTGACATGTGCAGGGTTGTCGTCCTGCGTATCCTCCAATATGCTCCCATAGACTACCAGTTTCACTATCCCTTTAAACAACATTCAAAAATGCTTGATGCACCAATTATAATTGAGGCACACACAATTTTTACAATTTAACAAAATGAGACTATTGTCGACGATAAAATTTTGCATTGTTAAATTTTTCATTTTTCTTTAGTATGTACGAGTTTATTAAGAAATTTTTGGCAAAAATTTAATTAAACTTTGAAAGGATGTTTAGCTCTTATTTTTGAGTTTTAATAAAAAAGTTAGTTAAAATATTTCTTTGATTTCTACATGCTATTCAAAAGCGTCAACTTCACCGTATATTTGTATATATTTGTGAGATAGCTATAGCTATCTCACTATAATAGTATAATTATTATAGTGAGATATAACATTTGCTTAACTTAATCATTAGAAACGTAAAATCGAATGAATAAAATCAGTAAGTTTTAAATTTTCTTGCAAGTAAGGGAATAAAATCTAAGAGTAGGCATTAGATTTCTCGGATTATCCCTCGTAGCAGATCGGGTAGGCCATCGAGCGCGCACGCAAATTGTCTTGGCTGACTCGACTACGCAAATCAAAAACTTGTCCGCGTTCAGTTTCAATAAAACCGTTCAAAGTTGCGCGCCCGTCACAGTCTCCGTTCTATCGCACGTGATATCACCGTGTCGGCCAATAGGAACTTATTTCGCGGATTTTCTAAGAATTGCTCGCTTGGTCATCCGTTCCGAAAATAATCCAGTGTTCAGTGGGCACATACGACTATAAACCAGTGGCAAAAATTATCTAAAGGATAAACTTATCAGTGTATCAAGACTAAATTGTTGAACCAGAGGACCAACCATCTTTTGTGAAAGTTTACAAACAGTGTTTTTATTATTTTATATTATTTAATAGTGTACGGTGAATGTTACAAAGTGATGACCTTGGTATTTTTATGCGTATATCATTGAAAGTTATTGTGATGGTTTATTAGGTGAGATATTCAAAATTTTTGTTTTACGTTTTGTCTATTTTTGAATCTTATTTTTTGAAAAAGGAACGCCCCAACTCGACTACGACCTACAATTTAAAATAGAATATGGAAGAAAACGATTTAGGTGTGTAATTGTTTGTTTTCAATGTTGCCAGGCATGCTAGATTTTATTTTTTCCATCACTACACCTTTGATCTGTCTCTGATCGTATTTGTTTATTTTGTGCATTTTATCTGTATTTTATCTGATAAATGAATTTAAACTTCTTTAATTTGAAAGAACAAATGATCTTAGTAAAACAATTTTTAATTTAAAGCCCAGCAGGGCTCCACCCCGGTTATAAATGTAGGTACCTATACTTTAAAAAATAATGAATAAAAAATGTTTACAAAACATTTCCAATTTTTAATTTTTATAGGTACCTACTCAAAAGTACTCAAAAGTAAAAAAAAAGTTATAAAAAACAGATAATTTTAATTTTGTAACCCTTGCCATTAAATTACTATTACTGCCTATTATAAGTTTTATTTACTTCTTAAATATAGAAAGTTTGTTTTTTTATAATTACATATTTACTCTAGGTAAAGTAAATTCCACATCATTTAATTAATTTTGTCTACGGATTTGATATTTAAATTATTATTATTGTGAATTATTTATAAAGGAGGTAAAAATTACGCATAACACAATTTAATAATTTAACGTTAAATTTAAAATTACGACAAATTATTTCAAAAATATTTAGAATTTTTTTAAACCCCAATTGAAATGACAAGAAAATTTGCTAAAAATTAGACCTATGAGCGATATTTTTTTTACAATTTATTTAATATTAAATAAAAAGGTTTACCTATACCTATATTAATATCCTTTCAAGATTATTGAATTGCAAACATCATGGTTAAACCTAAATTGCCTAAATTGCCTATAGGATGATTATAATCATATAGGATGATTATAATCATTTAATTGAATTACCAATTAAATTCTTCGTTCATTGCCAATGTATTGAAAAATAAATAAAGCTTAAAATTCAATAACAGTGCAATTAAAAATATATTTTTACTAAAAGCTAACTTGCTGTCCAAACTGTATGAGTAATAAATACATAGGTACCTACCTACCTACATATATACCTTATTTTTTAACCAATTTATAATTTGTTAATAAAATAAAATTAAAAAAGGTAATTTCCTAACAATATTTTCAACTAATAAATATTATTCTTTTACAACACAATGCTTACAAATTCTACAAACTTTATAGGTACATCCGGTTTTTTTTATAAAAAAAACAGGTGTAATAAAAATTATGCAGAACATTATTACGTAAAAAACGTCGATAATATCTTTATCTATTGATAAGTAAAATCAATTCTTATAAGTAACATTTCTCTTACTTAATGTCGCAAAATTAAATATAGATTAGGGATTTCCATTCAACAAATGTTTACATATAATATAGTTTAATGGTTATAAATAATTATCTTTTGATGTTTTTATAAAGTTGAATGTATCGTGCACCTTGAATTTTATATTTCAAATAAACTTTTTGCGGAAACCTTGACAAATCACATTGTTTTAAGTAAACAAAGAGGAATTTGTTTATTTTATTTTTAATGTCATGATTTCTTAAATAATGCTAGTTAAAAAATAAATTTAGTACCTAGGCCAATATTGTTTATAAATACTTGTGATAAGTATGTATGTTAATCCTCGTGTTAATTTAAAACTAATTTTTATAAAAAAGCTAGTCGTTCAGGTAAAGTTGTAATCGATTTTTAATTTAATTTAATTAAATACCTATGTAGCTACTGTATTAATAATAATGTATTTAATTTGAGTTCATTGTATCACATATACTGTACTGTAGGTACATTTAATTTTTTTATGTACCTACCTTCCCTAATTTAATAAAAATAATAAACTTAATTTAATAAACTGTTCAGTTATACCTACCTATAATAATGAAAACCTGAAAATTGGGAAATTCGGTCGTTAAGGCGGTTTTATAATTTCACCCCATAATGTTTAAAAATGGCGCCGTGATTTTAAATAGGTATTTAGTTTTTATAGCTTTGCGACTCGTCGAGGTTTTGTTATTTAAAAGTGTTAAATTAAAGTGTCAAAAATGGTGAATGCTCCACCTGAAGTAAGTCTTTTTATGCTGAGCTCAAAGTTTGACAATTGACATTTGATCGGAGCACAAAAAGGCACGTCTTGGCCTAATGGTATACAACATTTTTTTGTTAAACGATACATAAAATGTAGGTACAATTAAATCGGTGAGATTAAGATAGTATCTCCATTTGAAGAGTTTGATAACAGTAGGCCGTGACAGCAAATTCAGCGATGCCAATGTATACATACTATAGTAAAAATAAAAACGTTATATTTTAATTAACAAATTAATACTTAAACCACGTCAAATGTGTCAATAATTTTTTATTTTTTGAAAGTAACGATAATTGTAAAAATCTGTAGATAACTATACAACTTCTTTAAATAATTTTTTCTACTCCCACCTTTAAAACGCCCTTTATTGTACAATGTACATGTTTCCATGACACTAAGTCAGTGGCGGCTGGTGGATTTTATGTATACCAATATCTCAGTTATTAGACATGGGACCCACACCAAATTTATAATAGTTTATAATGACATTAAATAAACAAGTTCGGTGCAAACAGAATTTAAATTGAAGTTTGCGAAAAAAAGTTAGTTTTTCCTGTCGCCTCACCCGCCTCCAGGCCCCCCCTCGGGCCCCCCTATTTAAGATAATTCAAATTAAAGTGGTGCAATTTATTATCTACTATAATTTATCGACAAATTTAAAATTTTATTTAAAAAATCCAAATATTACAGGTTTTATACCATTTTAAATATTTTTTTATTTTAATAAAAAATTATAAAAATTTAAAATCGAATAAAATCTGTAATATTTGGAATTTTTAAATAAAATTTTAATTTTGTCGATAAATTATAGTAGATAATAAATTGCACCACTTTCATTTGAATTATCTCAAATAGGGGGACCTGGAGGCGGGTGAGGCGACAGGAAAAACAAACTTTTTTTCGCAAACTTCAATTTAAATTCTGTTTGCGCCAAACTTGTTTATTTAATGTCATTATAAACTATTAAAAATTTGGTTTGGGTCCCATGTCTAATAACTGAGATATTGGTATACACAAAATCCACCAGCCGCCACTGCACTAAGTGACCTTTTAAATACACATTGACAAGTTGTGGCTTTATGGCGCTTTAGTCACGGGCTGAAGTTAGTTTTAAGTTAGTTGACAGTTGTCATATGTCATATAATCGTTAAAATAAAGTGCCTTACTTGTAAAATAATAAAATAAATGTGAAAATTATTTTATTATCTCAATACAAAAGTATTAAATAGTTTCTCAACGACAATATTTGAAAAGTTTATATGAACATTGTACTGACCATTTAATTTCGCCGGCAGTAAACTATAACTTAAATTCGGGTACGAACTCTACTGTAAAGTCCTCATAAAACATTTTTTTTACTTTCACTGTAAAAAACTGTCAATTTTCAAGAAATACATTTCGATTTATAACCTTTATAATTGTGTTTATAAAATAAAAAAATGTGACATTTGACGGTGACACACAGTTTCCCCTATTGTTTCATAGATTGCGCTCTATACAAATTTTTGATTTAAATCATTTTAAGATAATAATAAGTATTTGTCGTAGAAAAAGTATAGTATGCACCTCGTTTATAAACTTTTCTATACACTCATTAATTAAATTAAATTCGTGTATAAAATGGCGTTTATCAAACTTGATACATATATAATATATATTTTTCTACTTCCACCTTTAAAGCGCCCATTATCGTACATGTTTCCATGACACTAAGTGACCTTTTAAATGCACATTGAAAAGTTGTGGCTTTATGGCGTTTTAGTCACGGGCTGAAGTTAGCAACAGGTTTTTAGTCACGGCTGAAGTTAGTTTTAATTTAGTTGACAGTTGTCAAATGTCATACAATCGTTAAAATAAAGTGCCTTCCTTGTAAAATAATACTAAAAGTAAAAATTATTTTATTATCTCAATACAAAAGTATTAAATAGTTTCTCAACGCTAATATTTGAAAAGTTTATATCGACATTGTACTGACCTTTCAATTTTGCCGGTAGTAAACTTTAACTTAAATTCGGGCTCGGACTCATAAAAAATTTTCTTTACTTTGCTGTAAAATACTGTTAATTGTTAATCCATTTTCAAGGAATACATTTCGATTTATTACCTTTATAATCTGTGTTTATAACACATAAAAAATTGACATTTGACGGTAAGACAGATTCCCCTATTATTTTATAGATGGCGCTCTATACAAATATTTGATTTAAATAATTTTAAGATAATAATAACTATTTGTCGTAGAAAAAGTATAGTATGCACCTCGTTTATAAACTTTTCTAGACACTCATTAATTTAAGCACTCGCTCACAAGCTCGCTCGTGCCTAAATTAAATTCGTGTCTAAAATGGCGTTTATCAAACTTAATAAATAATATACTATTTTGAAATTCCGAAGCGTTTTTTTTTTATTTTTAGTACTTAGGTAGCTACCTAACAATTTTACAACATTAAAAAGAAAAAAATTATAACACACGAATCGTTCGCAATAATTGGATGAAATTTGGAAATTGTTTTCTCTTTACGATTAATATTTTTTAATAAGAACTACCTATTTAAACAATTTAACTTTTTAATTTACCATTGAGTAAAAATGTACTCTACCTTCTTATTTTCGTGTTCCAAAAATCGACCGAAGCGCGGGGCAATGCGATACCGATTGTTAGAGTAGGACTTTTCGGAACACAAAAATAAGAAGGCAAAGTAAATTTTATAAAATTTCCATTAGGTCTAGAAGGTATAATGGTAGGCCTAGAAGGTATAATTAATTATTGTTTGCAAATAGGTAGGTATTGCTTTTTGAAAATATTCATCGTGAAGAGAAAACATTTGACAACTGTCAAAAATTTTTACATGCAATTATTGCGAGCAAGTCGTAAGTTATCAATTTTTCTGTTGTAAAATATATTTAGTACCTATAGTACTAAAAATAATAAAAACGGTGCGAAATTTCA